TTTCAGAACGCCTACACCAGTGCGGCCAAAATGGAGAGCTGAACCCTAAAATTCTGCCCGGATAGATATGCAGATGATATGCAGCGTGGTTTTGGTTAGATGCCAGCTTGTTCTATATCTGTTCTTGTTGGTGCTTGGTGTTCTTGCAGAGTGTTCTTGGCCTGCGATCCCCAACCTGTTTAACACTCCCCAACCTACGATCCCCGCAGGTGACCTCCGATGCGTTTGCGGGCCCCAGACAGAGGGTAGCGGTGGCGATCGTTTGGCCATGCAAAGGTCCACCGATGGGTAATGAACATGGCAGATGAACATGGAAGTACTATACTTTGGTGGGCACTTTGTTTCACCGTTTTGAATTCTAGATAGTTCTTGTAACTGTTCATGTCCTTGAATGGATTCTTTGTCCATAGGTTATACTCCCCTGCAGATGAAGATTGAACATGATGGAATCGCAAGGCGGTCACTTTGTTGTAGAGGAAAATCGTCGAAACTATGGATCAATTCTCAGACTTCCATGGGATTGACTGCGGAGGGGGTAATCATCCATGGACAAAAGCCGCAAACTCATTCATGCGTAGGTCCATCTAATTATAGGTCCTTGTCATGTATATGTGGATTCACATACAAGTCCCAGAAGGAAAATGGAACATGGATGGCGGATTGTCTGAGCTTGGATCATTTCACGTGTTTCTTGTTCTTCTGTGGATCCCCTTTCCGGCGATAGCAGGTGAGCTGGACAAACCACGGGACTCGCCACCCAAATCTTCCACCGAGGAAGGACCAGCAGATTCAAAATCTGGAGAGGCCGAAAAGCGCGCGGCGTGGCGTCACCCGTGCGTCGACGTCTTCGACGCTGCTTTCGTGTTTTCTTCTCCGGCGCTTTGGTCGGAGTCGGAGAGCAAAAATAGATGGAGAAGGTTTGGGCAGCGGCTATGATGCCATTACCTTCACGTATACTTTCCATTCGACTCACGTTCCATGGAAGATATGGAAGTGGAAAACCACCCGTTTCAGAGGGATGTAAACGTTCTAAGCGGCTATTCTCCACTTTAATGTTAGTGAGTCAGCGTGTACTATACTTATGCTTTGGTGATTTGATGCACTCGCAGTTTCCACTCCCATCAAACATTTTGTGATTTTAGAAGAGGCTGCTTGCAATTCATTCCTGGAGCAGCCCAATCAGATCCTGGGAAGGGCTGGTGCCGAAAAGGAAAGTGCGCGAAGGAGCAATTTCTGTGGTTGTTCGAGTCAGGCCAAACCAAACTCATAAAGCTCGATGCGCACTTTAAGGGGTGATCCGCCATCCGCCACGTGGATCGATGCTCCGGCCAGAACTTTGGCACCTGGCCCAGTGCCTGGGCCCATCCAATCCATTCCAAAGCAGAGAAGGGTAAGGTTCCTAACCGCAACCCCTTTTCCTTGAATCTCAAGAGTTGCCAAGAAGCATTGGTTTAGACATAGACATTGGATGAAATTGGTTTTGCTATGCAACATGCTCCGCACATCTCGAAACATTTGTTCAACTCTTTCGTTCGACTCCCCTTCAGCCGGGTCGGGTGGTCGCATCGGACCGAGCGCATTCGGCACCCCAAAGAGGTCGGTGCTAAACCTGGTGAACCAGGGCGCCTCGCCGGGCATGCTGGGGGCACCCAGCGAGAAGGCACCGCGCTTGGATCTCCCCTCCAACTCCAGGGGGGCTTTGCAAGTCCCAATCTCCCTAGAATTATAGCAATTTTAAAGATGAAGAGAGAATAGGTTCACCTGCAGCTTGTCCCGTCGTTTCTTTTTGTCGGAAAGCTGAGGGAGTCCGTGGGGTGCGTTTCTGTTGGAGTTCTCGGTCTGGTCTTCGGCGTTCGGCGACTGGGAGAAAGACGAGACGCGTTCTGAAGGGAGGGACCCAAAAAACCCACAGCTATAGGTTGATGAGGGGGTCAAATTCCATGGTGTATGCCTTCTCCATGTGAATAAACCGCCATTAAAACAAAAAAAACAACGACAGTTCCCCAAAAGAGCAGACTTCAAACCGTTCCTTTCACCTCCCGGACGGGTTTTCACCCCGTTTCACGGCCTCGGTGTGCGGTCTGTTCGTGTGAAACGCCGTCAGACCGGGGCCTGACGGGTCACGTGAACGTCCGGACGTCCTGAGGGTGGCCTTTGTGGAAGAGCTGAGACAATTGGTGGATGGGAAGATGAAGAAGGAGTTGCTCCGTCTGTTTTGGAGCAGCACTGTACTGTGCGTGCGTGAGGTCGGCAGGATTTGAGGTCGGTGTGTCTCAAACTCTTTCGGGATCGTTTTTAGGTATCAAACCGCAGCCCAGCCTTTCACAGAAGTCGGTTTGTCACAGGGGCAGTGAATTCGTCATTCAGATTCCCAGCTTTGTTGGGCGTTCAACAGGGTGGTGTTCAACATCGCAAACAGGTTTCTTCGACAGCGAAAACAGGGATCTGAAGGTGGGGCTACAATGGTGTGGGGTCGATTGTGTACATCAATAAGGGTCTTCAAGGTAGCTTTGGGGTCCTGAACTAGGATGCACTATGATGAGCTAGGCCTAGGCGGCCTGGGAGCAATGCCACTTCAAGGGCTTCACACAATCAGGGCCTCCACATCTCAGGATTGATGTACCTCTCAGGTTACTCGTCCATCTTGTGAACTAACTCCTTTTGGCGCAACAACGTCACGAGGAGCTGCGAAACCAGCAGAACACCACGCAGAGCACGCTGAATGCTGCTCGCTTCCGAAAGAAGGGCAGAGCCATGATGGCAGAGTCGGGAAGCTTTCAAGGATGAGTGATGGCTTGCATGTCTTGAAGTTCTTTTGTTCCCCCTTCAATGATTTTCGGAGCCGTGGAGATCTGTGGAGGTCGAAAGGAACATACGGTTGATCGACTTGCGACCCCCTCAATTCTGCACCCAACCTGTCCTCCCTGATTCTTCAAGCATCTTCTTGGACATCACTCCGGCCACCCGTCCACAAAATCCCCTGCGCCTCCGCCGCTCGGCTGAGGCCCACTTTGGAGCTATCGCACACTGCGCGCAGCAAGACTGGCGAGAAGTGCTGGACGTGGCGCTGGGCCAAGACGCCGGGGGCTCAGGCGAACGCTCGCGGAGCTGCTGGTTCTTCAAGGACAAAAATTGTGCAGATCATCCGTGGAAAAGATAGGTCTTTGAAATTAGAAACAGGAGAAGGATGAATTTTGGGCCTCACATGAGCTCCCGAGGTGAAAGCCAATGCCTCCAGTGTGGAGAGCTTCGGCCTTCAGCCTTTAGCGCAGAAGCACAGGCAAACCTCTGGGGCCGGAGGACAACAAGGAAAGACTTGGTGATTGCATGATGATGGTGGCGTAGCAAAACTAATATTAGAACATGCACATTTTGTTTTTGGCATTGGGACGGCAACTAACAGTTCCACCTTGTTCACTAAATGAACCATATATATATATAATACATAATATATCCGTCCATTCATTTGGCACTTTCATGCACTTTCCAATTTGACACGACACAACGACGGCGGTGCGGGTCACAAGTGATGGCTGCAGGGTTCAAAAAGTCGGGGGACCTATTCAACAGAACACTTCGTGAGGAAACCCCAGTGGCTTTTATGCCAGCTGGAGCGTGCCGAGGAAGAACGCGGAGCCCAAACCCCGTTTTTGAGGTTGAGAGCCTTTGACCGGATGTGTATTATAGCCGCCCATGCCGGAACCAATCGAACCTTTGTTACACTGCCATTGGAGGATATTGGCTGCTACAGAGTTGCATGGGAGCACCACCCTGCTTTTTGAAGATTCAACGACTTAAGAAGCAACATTTGAGGTAGTGCAGGAAGTTGTCCATCAGCATTAAGACATATTAACACCATGTATGCCCCAAAACCTGAACACATCACCATCGATACTCCTTGGACACTGCATATGTGGCATACGTCATCCTCCAAAGATCGCACAAACACGTCCCGAAAATCATCGAAGTGGATGGCATGACGCTGGATGCCAAAACCCTTTTGAGGCCTCGGTAAAACCGGTGGGGAACACCTCCTCGCCTTGACCCGTCACGACGTGTGTTGACGTGTCTTATTACCGGTCAGCACCCGGAGAGTGGGGCCGGTCTCCACAAATCGGCCACAGAGACGACCCGGAAGAAAACAGAAGTCAAACCATGTTCTTTTTTGGTTTTCACATGTTTTTCCTCTACTGTTTTCTTTTGATTATATATTGTTTTTTTGTTTTAAACGTTTGTTTTTGGCTTTTCTTTTTTTTCCTGATTTTTTTGCGTGTCTCCAGAGCTTTTTCCGCTCCGGTCTCCGTCGGTCTCCGCCGTGGGCGCTGAGTGGCAGGCTGTGCAGATGGGGCGAGTGGCAACGATGGGAGGAGAAGACGTCGACGCAGGCGGCGATGGAGAAGTCCAAGGAGTAGAAGGGGGGCTCAGAGTGGGCTTTCTGGGAGGCTCGAGGCGCCTCTGGTGGGCGTTTCTTTTGGTTTTTGGATGGCCCAAACTGGGGATCCTTGAGAGGTTTGGATGGCTGGGAGGTAGGGATGATTGAAATGAGGAGTGCTGAGCTCAAGGATGCTTTGGGATAGGTTGAGAGAGAGTTTGGCATTGGGATGAAGGGTGAGAACTGGGCGAGTTTTCATGTATAAAATCTGTCATGTCAAATCTCAAACATCCGGCGACTCAGCTCGACAGGTAAGTTGCGACATTTTGTCTCAACAAAGCTTCTTCTGTGTGTGGTTTTAATTGTGATTGCTTTGTTCCAGTTGTTTTTGATGAGTAAGAAGATGGTCAGAGAGTGACCAGGTTTTAGCTTCCGAAACAAGAAACGTGCCTTCCGTCGCACCGGTCACACACCTTCGGGCAAAAATACCTGTCAATTCACCTTCGGGACACCCGAGGAGACCGGAAAAGACCGTGAGGATCGTGCGACCTCCATCGCAGCAGCGATAGCGTGTCGTTTCTGCGACGCCGAGGAGACCAAAGACTACCTCTGTGGCCTCTATGCGGGCAACGAGAGCCACCGCGCGGCGCCGGTCCGGTGGCAAAGGATGGGGGGAAGACGGCAGGCTGGGGGAAACGAAAGGATATGCAAGTGATATTTGGAGAACTCTTTCCGTCATCCACGGTTGATCATGTTGATTTGTCGTCGATGCATGAGTCCACCTCTCTCAATTACTCAAGCGAGTCCACCAGGAGCTGCTGAGCCCCATGTGGGATTTGCCACAAAGCAATTCACATCAAAATGCAAGGCCCACTGGCCAAACGATGCGGTTCGCTTCTGAGGTGGGCGATTCCGGGAACTGCGTCATGGGCAGCAAATACCCGGCCAGCAGCCAGACCAGGCATGGAACGTCCAGATGTTGCGCGGAATCCATTTGGACTGGGTGCGACTTGCGACTGAACCATGAGCTGAACCGCAGATTGGGAGACGTGGGGTCTCTAGTGAGAAGCAACCTGACACAACTCTGCGCAAGCGCGAGGCAGGTTCCTCCAAAGACCAATTCACATTCATCATTCATCACAAAGTCACACCTCTAAGCAGCTGACCCCGGTCCACCCACTCGAGCCACCACAGCATCCTGGTTGCATCCTCTCGCTTCTCGTTTCTATGAGAGCGGCTTTGGCCTTTGGATGCGGCTGGGGGGCACTCGTGAGGCATATCGACTTCCTGCGTGACCAGTTGGCGTGGTGGGAGGATCAGCTCCAGCAGATCCAGACATCCCGTCACTTGGGTGTGGATCACCGTTGCCAGTGGACGGAGGCATCGGAAGAGACCCCAGGGAGAACAGGAGAAACAGGCCAAAACTGCTAGGAATTCTCGTTCACCTCCGATTCCTTTTTGGGCGGACAACCCATATTACTGTAGGATCTATTGGGTACCACCTGCTCAACTCAAGAGCTTGACATGGTCTTCTTTTCTTCACCACTCTCCCCACCACCGAGGTGTTCAATGCACTGCCGCCAGCGAGGCCGGGTGCGGTTTTCGCCGCGCCCCGGAGGATGGAGGGGGGTTGGACCCGGCTTCAGCAAACCCTTTCCATTGGCCTCGGGTCCGCACTCTGTAAAAATTTATGTTCAGTGGAACCGATTATGACATGGAGCCCGAGGATAGAAACCATCAAGTAAACCATGGATGGATGTCCTTCCCTGGGCACAAAACAAGATGTATTGCGAGTCACTTGGGGCACAACATGTTCCAAGCTCAGCATACCTCAGCCTCTATGTTTTATTTTATTTTGATTGGTAGTGGTTGTATTAGGTTGCATCCTTTCGTTTCTTCAGTTCTTCTGGGACGAGTAGTCGCAGTCACTAGCTTGATATGTTCAGTTCAGCTGAAACCCGTCTGTCTTGGAGTGCAATCCGTGTGTCATCCCAACGGTTGCTTCTTTGACGCCGAGTCGCCCGCGTTCCGACCGGACGCGCCCCGCCCCGGACCCGCCTGGGCCGGCCTCGTGCGCCGGTGGCCGCCGCGGTCTCCGGCCAGCCACGCTCCAGGCCTATGACAGTGCTTTGGCCATGTTCCAGCAAGCCTCCACGGCCGCCGGGCGAGCAATTTTCGGCGAGGGAGACGCGACCGCGTGCGCGCTTCGCTTTTTGGGAGAGCGCGGTCCCGGAGTCCTGCCCTGCTTCTTCCCGTGGGGGGGGTAGAGTTGAAATGAGCTGAACTGGAGCATGCAGCATGCATGATGACTTCAAGTGAGTTGTGCTTATTCTGGTGAACTAGGCCAAACATTCAGGATCATTCAGGGTTTTCTGCGGCTTTCTGTTGACAGAAGCAAGACTAAAAGATACCTAATTAAGTAACTATCCAGCAGTGGTCAGAACAATCTAGACATGTTGCGATCCCCTCAACCCTCTAGAGGAGATTTGTGTCAGCAAAAGGTATAGCCATGTCGGCGATTGAATGCGCATGTCCGCCAAGGCACATGCTGATGTGCAGAAGACCTGCAACGCCACACAGGCTTTCGGGAGATGTAGAGAGATGTCAAAGAAGCTGTTCATGTCTCACGGGCAAGAGGTGGTTAAGCCGAGAGTCCCCAGCCTGATGGATTTTGAGGGTGTGAGCTGGGTAATCCGCACCCGGAACAGTCCAACAATAATCACTCCTTGAGTGGCATTTGGTCAACGTTCACTCAATATCTATCAAGTCGATTTCCTGCGTGGGGGACAACCTAAGTTATACTGTAGCAGTCTCACCATTGGGTCAAGACCCAGAGCCATCAGCCATCATCAGCGCATGACCGGGGAAGCCAGGTGCAGCTGGATGAGGCATCCTGCCGATACAAGGCGTACAGCCAGAAGGTGAGGATATGTGAGGATGCTACTGGCCGTGGTGTCATCGGTTCCGGGAGGATTTCAATTGATCCTGATTGACGATTGGAGATGAAGACATTGAAGGCATGGTGGCGGCAGGTAGTGCGTGCGTTCCTACAGGTTTAGTCTGTACCTGGTTTGAGCATGGTCGATCTTGCTTGCAAAGTATTTGTTGGAATAAATGCATATCAAGTCGTATAATCCTTTGTTGGAAGGGAGAGACTAGTGTACCCTAGTGAGGACCCTAGCGTATTCCATCATCCCACTCTCAGTGAGGACCACTTCTCCTAGGTACCCAAACCCTGCGACCCGACCGTGACACCAACCCTCCCACTGATCGCCCAGAAGTGCGAGCTGATCGCCCACTGCGCTGACACTCGCTCTTTCTGCCAGGGATGGCTGTGGGATGTGGGTGTATTTGCTGTCTGTTTTGGGACTCTGCGGACTGGTCGACCCTTTGTCAAATATCAGTAACTGATCAGTGGGACTGATCAGTGGGATTGGACTATTGGACCAAGATGGGAACAAAACAGATGAAGTTCCCAGGTGCGCTTAGCTTGTTGGGATACCATTTTCCTTCAAGGTCACATCTGGGCACTGCTAGCTAGAATCAAATCTGCTGCCATTAAGAAACCTAGATGGTCTGTCAAGTTGGTGTGAAGAAAGATGATTACCTGAAAAAAGAAATGTGACGTTCCTAGGTCGACACCGCAACTACAGTGGATGAACATCCCCAGAAATCTATTCACTCCTTCGATGTTACTGGATACCCAGTACTGGCGGTACTGGCTCCACAAGATGTTCAATCCGCAAAGAGACATGCCATGTTTTCGAGTCCCCTCAACCTTTGACACGGCATGGAATTCCAACGGTTAAAAGGCGACTCATCCAGCCACAGCGGTTTCTTCGTTTCGATGTCTTCCAACCGCTCCCGTCGACCTCCGGCTCGACGTTCCTCCCGTCAACACGGCGACCGCTGTCGACCGGGGTCGCCGGTTGAGGACACCGCCTGGCAGACCTACCACGACACCTGGAACGAGGCGCTCACCGAAGCGCAGTTCCTCCAGGCTGTCGGACGGGCGCGACACGGCGCGGATGGACGAGGTGGAGGTGGAGGGAAGAGGACGATCGTCATGGTTTCGTTTGAGAAGTGAATTTCCGTGGTTTCCAGCATTTTCCAAAGGCCAACCCGGTGGTTTTGGGGGTCTATGATGTTCCATGTCCGTGCTGCGGCGGAGTAGCGAGTAGCACTTTGCAGCTTCCCATTTTGCATAGCTTTTAGACCCGCCGGGCTTAGGGGACGATTCTTTTCAAGATGAATCAAGGACTCGACTCCGGTTGACTCTGATAGCAGGGGGAAGATGGGGGAAGCATGCTTTTTCCCGCTTTGAAACCTCTGCCCTGCGATGCTTCACGGGATTTTTGTTTTGAACTCACGAACAAAACACAAGAAAGCTTGTTTCGCCCCCATCGCTCGCTGCGGGTCCGCCAGGCTCAGATGAGGGCGCTCCTGAGGATCGAGTGCTACCTCGGAGCTTTTCAGCCGCTGGGCCAATGGCAGGAACGCTGGGCCGTCCTGGCGAAAGAGCTGCCAGGGCTGGATTTCTGGGCGATGAATGTGGTTTTTGAAGATCCCTTCACAATCCTTCACAGGATCAATTCTAATAAAGAAACTAATCATGTCAACTGCACCTAGACCTAGACGGCGCAAAACTGATTGAAAGCAAATCAAGATCATGCAAATATATTTATACAGTAAGTCCTTACACTTCGACTCACTAACATGGAAGTGGAACCCCCCCCGGGTCGTGAAGGAAAGCAGCCTAGCAAGGATTCAAAGCGTTTGCCAGTCAGAGTCAGAGTGTTGTACTTGGGTTTTAAGTGTCGGATACTTCAAGTCAGGTTTCGACGTGGTCAGAACTGAAGCTACAAAGATACGATAAGTCCACAGACAAGCCTTTGTTGAGAACTGTTAATATGCTGCAATCCCCATTAGACTCATTAGACTCATAGAAACATGATCGCCATGAAGGCAGCATTTTGCTTGGCGTGCCACTGGTGATTCTGGGGAAACATTCTACATGTCCGTGGGAATACTGCGAAGCTGTACCAGCACCCCATCAAGGACTCCCCAAATACTTGGATTTTGGCCAAGAACTCCTTGCCGCCCCCCCCACACCCTCCGACACATCAGGTTGAGCAACATGACCGATGGCATCCTGCAGTGCAAGCGGAAGGACTGGGAATACTCGTCGCAGGTCGTTGCCACCCGATCTTTCTTTCCATCTCATGATCAGGTGTTAATGACACTCCCTTAGTCATGGAAATGGATGGCCTTTGTTTTTTGATGACAATTGTCCTCTACAAACCGGCGTTTTTCCACTTCCACGGAACGTGACTCGGAGAGTGTGACTCTTTGTTTGCATCGTGAGTTTCCGTGGTTTCCGTGGCGCCTTGGCTTTGATGGCAAGCAACCTCAGTCCGATCTCTAACCCTACCCAAAAAAAACACATTGAATGCAGAGTAGGGATTTTAAAGCATCTCAAAAACTCTTTAACAACTATGACTTGTTGATTGATCTGGATTGGAGTTCCACGAAAGAACCTCCATTTGGATCCATTTGGCTGTTACTTGGCCGGTCCAAGCAAACTTTGTCTTCTGCCGCTGTTTGTTCCAGCAATTTCCTGTGCTGGATCTCAGAAGTTCCGCAGGACTTCCACAATCACACTCACGTCACTTCTTTGGCGATCCTCGGACTAGTGAGGAGCTGGGAGGAGTTCTTTCCGTTTTTTTTGACCCACAAGAACCCTTCAAAAGCTGACCGAACCGGTGGAGCGGTGTTCGGACTCATGGGCGTTTCCGGATGTGATCACGGTGTGCGAACGGCGTTTGCCGTGGACCTCCGGAACGGTCGCCGGCGAAAAGCACCGCTCCAGATCCTGCTTCCGGAGTGGGACAAGGGTTTTGTGCGTAAACCATATAATTAATGTAGACTCTTAGATGAATAACCTCGCCCCAATTGGACATCCTTTTCATATGGGGAGTTTATTGATCAAGAGTCTACATGAATGAGTCTACATTATGGATAATTTATTTGGATATTCCCACTTCAAGTCTTCAGCCGTTTCAAGACCTTTGTGATTATGTTTAAAACCAGTGGCCCTGAAAAAGCAGATCCAGCATGATCCAGCCATGTTCATCTGAGGGATTGATCAATGGTTGGAAGATGGATGTGGGAGAAGTCTCTAAATCCAATAAGATTCAAAGATTCAATAGGTCACATGGTCACACATGGTCACACTCAATTCAATAGGTCACACCGGACCGTACGTCGAATGAAGCACAACAGAATCAATTGGGATCATCTGCAAAAGAGCGCCCACCCAGAGTGAAATCAGTTCGGAGTCATGAGGCATTTCGAAGGCTGTTTGATTATTTTTTGGAAGAAGATACCATTTGGTGCATCTCATAAGGGCGAGGGTTGTACTTTGTTTCGGGACCAACTGCACCGGCTTGTCCGACAGCCTTCAGACCTCCTGTACCCGGCTGAACTACAACACGGCCCTCTCGACCAGCGGACATGTGCCCAGGTTCCAGCCACAGGCGCAGCCAGCGGCTCACAGTTGCCTTGTGGCACCTTGGTTCGAGAAATGGGGCGGAAGATGGCGGAAGGATCTGGAAGGTTTCAGGGCTTGGATGGATCTCACAACCGCTTCTTGCTTTTGACCTTCATTTGGAGATATACAGCTCGGAGAGCTCCGTCCTCAAGGGTTCCGGGGAGGGAGTACTGGACCCCTTGGGGCCCGTTTCTTCGTTCTTTTTGTTCGGGGCATGGGTGGTCTGAGGCCCTATTTTGTAGAGAGGTAGGAATAGTATGTATGGAAGTGTTGGGAGTGTTGAGATGGATGCCAGATTCTTGCTTTGGCGCGATTGGGTGGCTCTTGAAAGCAAGATCTAGAATCACATAAACATATGTCAGAACAGTTGTCTCTTCTATCTATAGTCCATTATAGTCCTTTGGTATTCCTTTGGTTTGTATAAAACAGCTTGGGTTTGTCACTTCTTTGCATCACAGCTTGTGCGTCTTTTGGGCCAGAATGTTTCGACCACCAGGTTTCAAACTTGCTAGTAGCATGACAACAACTGCCCAACAGAATCGCTCTCTCTCAGTCCTCGGTATGTTCGGCTCAGGCAAAGCACCAACACATTGGAACATCCGGTAGCGAGAGGAAATTCCAACCTCCCCCGATGCGGATCGAATCCCAACATATAACGACGCATTCTTTGGAATTCTTTCCCCCAAAAAGGAACAGCGGAACAGCGGTTTGGTCGCAGTGGCGTTTCGGTCGCATGTATGCATGCATGTATGTATGTATGTATGTATGTATGTATGTATGTATATGTTTGCATCCTCCGCCTCAAACCTCTCCCAGACTCCAGAAGAACACACTTGATCCACGAGTAGAGTGAGCTTCGACAGCTGATCCAGATCGATTCATCATCCCTATGGACCTTTGTTGAAGCATGGCAGGCACCCCTATTGAATATATAGACATGCCCTCCTTCCGCACGGTCCGTGTGGGGCCTGGATCGGTTCGACTTTCGACGCGTGTTTCACCTCCTACACCGGAGTTGTGGTGCACAGCCCAAGAGGCCCAAGAGTTGGAGAAGAAACGCGAAAACCGGAAGCCTCTGCAACGAAGAGCGTGCAGACTTCCTTCGGCCAGGCTCAACTATCTTGCGCTATGTTGTTTTACCAGCGCGGAAAACAACACCATGCAGACCAGTTGTAGATCTGGTTCTCATGGTGTTTGAGAGATGATAGAGATGTTTGGATGACCTGATACGACCATCACCAGCAGCGGTGTGGTCGACCGCGGGTCCCAGCTGGGACCGGGGACCCGGCTGAGGACAAAGAGAATGTGGCCGGGTTCTGTGTCTACGAAGGCTGGCCGAGCCCCGTTTGCCACGTGCTGTTTGCGACGTTTGCGCCCAGGCTTTGGTTTGGTGCGGGAAGGATAGTTTAATGAGTTTAGAGGACCTGAGGATACTCCTCCCAGTTTGCTAGAGATATCAGATGATCTTGCAAAGCAGCTCCAGCTATGGAGACTCGGGCATGTCAGATGGGCCGATGTTACGTCTCTTGTCCTCCGGGGAGACGTGGTGTCGTCCTTCCATGACCGTAGGAGTTCGGAGAACAAAACCCAGAATGGGGTGGTATATAGTAAGTGAGACTCCTGAACCTCCCAGAGGTCTATGAAAAAGCCTCGGGAGGGGTCCTGGTACAGTTTCAAAATCAATCCTCTTCTTGAGGGACCTTGCTTTTTCCCCTCAGAGTTCATTTCCCAGACCATCCATGTACTTGTATGGACTGTATGGAATATTTACCTACATTGACCGTGAAAACATCTTAAATCATCTTAAATTGACACACATTTTGACACCTTTTCATTTGGAAGACCTTTTTTGGCACGTTCCGTCCGGAAAAAAGAAAACACCGCCCGTCCCGGACTCGTCGGGGAAGAACCGAACGACCCGGGACGCGCCCGGACGCCAGGGAAGTATTACGCCAACACCTCCAACCTCAGTCGGGTGCTCAGTAACCCGGAAGTGGGAGAAGGAGAGGTTTTGGGGCAGTAACCGGAGTGCATCACTGAATACATCAGAGCGTAGACGAGCAAAAAAGAAAGAGCGTGGAGGTGTATTGAGTTACAGCATTTGATCCTTGTTAGTCGGACTCCTACGGTCGATACCGTAGATACCAAGTTCACTGCAGTATGCCACTATGCAGTCTCTCTGTATAGTCCTTCACGAACGCCGTCTCTCCGGGTCTCTCCCGCGTCTCTCGGGACCTCCCAGCCCAAATCACCCGCAAAGGAAGGAGCAAGAGGTGGATCCCACACAGGTTGGTCCTGGACCGCGGGTCCAACCTCCAGTACGCCCCCAGCATGGGGAAGGACTAGGAGGTGCGTCATGGAGCGGAGCGCAAGTTGTGGAGATGAATTGGATTACATTTGATGCATGATGTGATCATCCGCTCAGTGAGAACGCCCCCTGAACCCATTGCTGTATGTATCATTTCTTTGTCCGCCGCTGAGGCCAACCCTGTGCAGCCTCCTGCTGCCACAAGACTTGCGTCCTCTGAGTGGGGATGTTGTGGTCCAGGTGCCGGTCCATTTCGGGGGTTGTACAAACAAGCGTTGAATTGTGAAAAGGAGGCGTTGAGGCGATATCTTAATATATTTTGTAGACAGTTCCTTTTTGCAAAAAGATAGAATCTGATGTAAGATGGAATCTATAAATTTATAGATCCCTCATGCTTGTAACATCGTGAAGATCCCCACTGTTGGCATTTAGGCAATCCGTGCTTACTACTGGAAGGTACACCAGGTACTTAGATCCTGTTGCAACATTGGAGTTGAGGGAGGGCTGAAGCTTTGGAGGGGGGTTGTGCAAGGGAAAGAAGCATCGAAGTGTCTATGCACATACGAAGACCCTCCAGCCCCGTGAAGAAGAACACATATCGACCCAAACCTATTCGGCCAGGAGGGCTCACGATTTTTCATAGAGACTCATCGAAGTTGAGCAATGATTTTCAGTGCCCCGCAATCGGAGTTGCCCTTCGCAGTTGGACCCGTGCAATCGGCGCATCAGCTGGGCTTCGGCCTCTTCAGCATGTTGGCCCCATTTCACCTCTCGCGACCACGAGCGTGATGGAAAAGATGGTCTGTGAAGAGAGGACGACGGTCCAAAGGGCAGCCGATCCAAGCACTTGTTTCTTTACTTTTTCTCACTCCAATGTTGAGTTGACTGGACCAGATATGAACACTTGAACAAGCGGAGTCGCGAATTTTAACAGGCCTTCTCAGAAGCCTTGCCTCATGTCAAGAGTTGGTGGGGAAGACCGACGTCAACCAGTGTTGTCACTGACAAAATCAGCCCTCGGGAGTTCCGTCCTGAAAGTCATCAGCAGGGGTCGACTTATTTCGTGCACTTCCAATTGTGCAGGTAGGACTCTCTTCGTTGAGCCAGCGAGATCGACATTCATTTCTCTTGCGACAAAAGACCACGGCCCAACACACGGCTCGGGCGTTCTGACCTCGCCGAGGCTTCAGCTGCTGAGTGCCTGGCGCTACCAGGCGCAAGAGCAGAGGCACCTGCGGCAGCGCCTGCAGGCTGGGCGGCAAAGCGAGGAGAGACGGAAGACGGGACAGAAAAGGAAGGAAGCCAACTTGCGGATGTCAACATGCAGGTTATGTGGCTGGACAGACTAACGGTAGCTACGGATGTAAAAGATATATTGATTTGCTGCGCATGGTTTGAGATGGTTTATGGGTATTGGACTGCTTGGGCAGGGATTTCAATCCGATCCACTAGCTAGGATAGCTTCTGGAAGATTCAGGTGTCAGCCATGTTTCAGGTCCTCCAATTGCCCCTTCTCCCATCGCCACGGTCACTGCAGTCCGAGCAGAGCAGCAGTCGGCAGCTGGACCAGGCCTTGCAGAGTGCAGCTTTGGCGCTGGGAACTGAGAGTGGGAAACGAAGGAAACGCGGGGTGACTCCCTTTACTAGATCCTTTATACTCCTTTGGACCGTAGTACCTAGTAGGGTAGAACATCTGGGAAGAATATCAGTTCGGAGCAAGGAGTTTCTGTAGATTTCTCAAACATGTTGGGCTGTTGGGAGACGGAAATACGGAGAGGACGTAGGAACAAAAAAAAGAAGGAAGGATCCGGCATTCTAGGAGCGGTTGGATCATGTTCACTTCACCTGTAATTAGGACGTGGGACTTCCACATATTCTCACTTTGTGTCCTCTCCATGATGCTCGACCTCCTAGGCTTGAGCGATGCCAAGAACAGCCAGGGTGCGGGGCCAAGATCTTGGACGGCGATGGGACGGAGTACGTATATTGTGGAGTTGGTCAAACCGCTGCGCAAGAAAGGGGGTGGCTTTGACATGTTTTGGATGGCTCTGAAAATCGTGTTTAAATGTGTTCAAACTTTGCATTAAATGCTCGTGCTGGTTGTTCCAAGGTAAGGAGTGACTTTTCACGTTTATATAGATTGACTTGTGTGCGATTACCCACCTTTGAACACATCGAACCCACAGAGAACTTTAGAACAGGTCGCTCAAGCCCAACGCAGCTTTTCTACCACGTCACTGCAGCAAGGTATTAGATGCCTAGCTTTCGTCCCCCTTGGGACTCTGCAGGGCTTTGCAGCCGCAAATGCTGCTGTTCAATCACATGCCTATGCGTGTTCAATAGCCTGGGCAAGCGCAACTCTACTCCCTGTTTTCGCTGTGAGATTTGGCTTTGGAAGTGGGAGACCTCTTGAGGATGCTTCAACTCGAAAGTCTGAGGATTTGGGCGCCTCCTTGTTTCCCGCCTCCTTTTGAAGTCTTTCCACCGGTGCTGGTGGGTACTGGAGGGTTCCAGGTGTGGCAACGCCTTCAGAGATTCCATGAGATCCTCCAGGTGACCAGGTGACCCACCGAGCCGGCAGGCCGTAGATTGAACAGACAAATACCACATGGCACCTGGACGTTTGGAGCACCAAGGAGCCAATGGAGCTGGCTGTTTTCGCCTGGTTTTCATCGATCTTCACATCTCCGCTCCTTTCAGGACACAGCCTGCCCGAAGATACACACTGGCCGGAGGGCGGATCTGTCCTTCGCCCCGCATGACTCAATCGGCCCAGGCCCTTCCACTGCCGCCTGCTCCATGAGTGGCGTCAGCTCGTGGTCCAAAGGAAGACCAGCACCTCGGCGATGCACCGCACCGTTCGCGCCGGGTTTCTTTTGGATGCGCGGCGTCCGTCGGTTCCGTCGCCGTCCGGGGAAGGCGCGGAGCTTGTAGTGGGGTCAAGACTCGCCCTACGTGCTTCTGGTAGGGGCTGTTCCAACCAGCCCCCTCCGAGGAAAAGGGAGCAACTGCGGGTGCCCCGGAAATGAAGATTCGATAGGATTCGTAAGGGTGACAGAGTTAGAGACTCGGTGATCTTTGTTTGAGAGCTTCTTGACCTTAGAATCTGGGGTACCCGAGGTTTTACTTACACCAAGAGAATGGGAATCTTCAGAAGAGTACGTCACTGGACAATCCCAACCACTGGCACCATCTGGCACCTGCTTTTCTGAAACCACCTTTTACCTGATCAAGATGAAGCTCCATAGCATCTCCGAGGTGCGGTGCGTCATGGGCAAAGATCACGCTACGTGCAGCTGCAAGAGGCCAAGGACCAGGCGGAGAGGGAGGATGGTTGAGGAGCCATGGGTTTGTTGGCACGTCCAGCTGACATGGGTGGGAGCGAGGGGCACGTGTCTAGATTGATGCGAAGAACGGCACTTGAGTGAAGCTGTAAGAATACCAAGCATATCCAATGGTTGTAGGCATTGTAGGCAATGTCAACACAGGATTGAGGAATCCTCACATTAATACAACAATAAAATATAAATTACTATGTATATACAATAATATAATCGCTAGCGAAAAACCTTCGGGCCCACCGTCTTTGTTCTGCAGAAGCCCCTCCCATAGGTCCAGGATGGTCTCTCAATTGATTTCTTTAGAATGAGGAGATGAGTCTGGGAGCAGCTGATACAGACCCCCAGACCACCCAGACCCCAGGTGAATCGAGGTCTTCTAGATCATTCAGTCCCCCACTCCAGACCTATCACTGTTCTGTACTTTTTGGATCAGATCTTGAGGGAGTGAATGATTTTTTCGGGGTAGATTTTGAATTCACGTTCCAAAAAAAAAATGCACGTTTGTGGCTTTCACTCGTCTTCACATTCCGCCACAGTCATCCCTCAGAGCCGTGGGGATTTGCCTGACTTGCCCGTCGAGCGAACTGGAGTTGACAGAACTGGAAGAGCATGGAGACACCACAGCACCCCTTCCTTTTGCTGTCGATTCATGAGTCTTTAGAGTCCACTTCAAGCTTGGACTTTCGTCTTGGTAAGTGTTCATAGGATATCCATCACTGCACTGCTAGTGGTTTTTCAACAGTGCCGTCACTCTTTGCACGGGAGTGGGCTCCCATCTTAGAGAACGAGCGGGCTCCCTTCTTCGAGAACTCCAAGAATTCGAACTGAGCGCTCACAGTTATTTTAAGCACCCAAAGCAAGCGTTCATTTCGGGCACAGAATCGCAGCAGAGCGACGTTGAAGAGATGCTCCACTGAGCAGCTCACAATGGCCAATTGGCAGTAATCTAAACCAGAATGCAACGGATCAAATTTGCGCAACAGCTTTGCACGTGGCAGCTCTCAATGGCCACTCGGAAGTGGTGCGACGTTTGCTTGAGGCTGGTGCACTACAGAATGCTGTGGACAAGAATGGTGCAACCTCTTTGCAGTTTGCTGCTCCGCAACGACCACAGAGAGGTGGTACGATCTGATCAGCAGAGGGCACAAGACGTGCAAAGTCGATTGCTACGTCGGCTAAGTTTGCTCCTGCAGACTTCGTGCAGAGAGGAATGCTGCAGCGCAGGAGTCTGCATGAGGTCCCTCCGGTCACGAGGGACTTCTCGAGTGGCTCAGGAGCTCAGGAGTGGCTCTCCACGAGGCTTTCCGGGAGAGCCACTGTCCTTGCCGGCCTTCCCCTGGGAATAAGCCACCTGTTGGGCTTTAGGGGGGGTGTCAGATGTTGAGCCAATCGATTCTGGACCAGAAATGAGGCCAAGCAGGGGCAAGCTTGCTTGCTTGAGCAGCCTTGGATGTCTTGGGTTTGTATTCCGGGTGTTCGGATGTCTTTGGGTATTTTCTTTTGCACTCACGTGATGTGAGTTCCAAATTGTTTTTCAACCCGCATTCCTAGACTCTGCGACCACACGACCACACTTTGGATGAACATTGCTTCAGCACAGCAATCCGGAGTCAAAGACTTACTGCTGTGGAATTCAGGACTTGGGAGTTGTACAGTTGCACATGAAAAAAGAACATGAAAAGCACCAAACACCATCAAGAAACGGTTTTTGCTTCTCGGATATAAACCACTTCCGGCGCCAGGCGATGCTCCTCTCCAGCTGTCCGGCGCCCGTACTGCGCGCGCGTTCGTCCGGCATTGTTCGGTGGTGCCTGTTTTTTTTGCGTCGGTGGGTTTATGGGTGGGACGCATCACTCTGAACCAGCCAAAAGAAACATGGGAACGGGTGGAATTCTTCCTGAAGGATCCAAATATAAATATATAAGGTTTACACCTTTATCACTGTATCACATAATTCGTATTTCCCAGCACGGACCCATCTCGGGTGGTTTTGCTTGCTTGGGACATACATCTTCACGGTTTATAAACCACCCGATCTGGGTGGTGCAGTGATACCCCTACCTGTATCCTCTACAGAATGCCAGGGCTTGGGCATTGATATAAGGCTTTTTTTAAATAGAGAAACTTGTCTTACCTTTCCAGGTTTGGCATTTTGTAGAGGAGACATTTTGGAGTTTCTGGAAGATGTCGATTTCTAACTTGCAAAATTGGTACCCTCTACAGAATGCATCATGTGCAGTTTCTCTGTTTTTGGAACCCCTTTTTCCCTCATGCTGTATCTATCCCCTTCCACAACCTTCTCATTTTGTAGAGAGTGTCCCTGTCCAAAATGCCCCTGTGCGTGGGCATTTTGTAGAGGCTCTGTTTTTGACTTTGGATCGCAAGTTTGTGATTCTCTAGGCCTCTGGGAACCACTTTTTTGATTTGTAACTACAGAATGCTTAGCACAACCTCACCTGGCTATCATTCAGGGGGATGTGCAGTGCTGGTATGTAAATATATATACTTCAGGCAGACAAAAGTTTACGCTTGTTAGCCTTCTTACAAAATACTCTGAGGTCAGCGGCGGATCGAATTAACAAGTCTAATTTTCGTGGCAGGTGTGGGACGGTCAATTATCACACCGTTTTAGAGGCTTTCCGGGGTGACAAGTGACCGCCCACACCTTTCCTTGTCTCATGGTGTAGGATTCTACGGGGATAGGGTTGTCATGAGTTTCAACATCAAGAAGCGCAACTTTCGTCTGGCCAGTGCGTTAAAAAAGAGGTGTTGCATTGACAGGTAACTGATTAGTCGTTTTTTAAGCGAAATGTCAATCTATAAAGTACTCTGTCCTCTTTACAGCTATATATTTACCAAACGTTAAAAAAGGGGTGTTGCATTGACAGGTAACTGATTGGTCGTTTTTTAAGTGAAATGTCAATCTATAAAGTACTCTGTCCTCTTTACAGCTATATATTTGCCAAACATATCTATATACGTATAAATATAAATAGACCAGAGGTTGAACGGGTGCACGTTTTGTACATTTTTGCTCTTCGCTGCCCTTCAGGCAGACAAAAGTTTACGCTTGTTAGCCTTCTTACAAAATACTCTGAGGTCAGCGGCGGATCGAATTAACAAGTCTAATTTTCGTGGCAGGTGTGGGACGGTCAATTATCACACCGTTTTAGATTTATAAAAATAAAAGGCTTTCCGGGGTGACAAGTGACCGCCCACACCTTTCCTTGTCTCATGGTGTAGGATTCTACGGGGATAGGGTTGTCATGAGTTTCAACATCAAGAAGCGCAACTTTCGTCTGGCCAGTGTATATATATACGTGTCTCTCTCTATATACTGTATATACTTATGATATATAAATTAATTGTAGTCCCCACTGTTGAAAGTTCGCTGGACAGATCCAGGGCCTGCGATCGCTGGGTCTTGGGACGTGCTCCTGGGTAAACGCCAAGCCAAAGCCGCCAAGCCGGTCTTGGCATCGTTTTGCAGGTGCCCTCTATTCTGAGAGACGGGTCTTTGGTCATTGGCTCATGGTCATTTTTTGGTTGGAAGATGTGGACAATTCACTGCAACCACACGAGCTGACCATCGCTCGACCCTCTCCACAGTCGATGAGACACAGAAACCGAGGGCCCTGTGTTGAACCATTCGATGTGTGCGGATTCAAGAGGGTCAGTCCAGTGCTGTCAGTACCCAACCAGAGAGAATGTACCCAGTCTTGCAACGTTCTACACGTCGGCACCCATTCCGGACCTTCAATTCCGTTGCCCTGGGCATCACGTTCTTAATCACCCGCACCCAACGGCGCTGGCGGCAAAAGCCACCAACGAAGTGGAGGTGGAGGCGCTGGGCTCGGAACTCCGATGAACGTCCGAGGCCTCCGCCAGTGGCAAGGCCAGTGTCAGCGCTCTGCGGCCGAGTGGCGGACTGCCCAGGCGTGATGGTGAGGAGGTGGCAAAGCCATAGAACACCGCAATGCTCAGAGTACTCGGTGACAACTCTGTTAGAGACCTTAAATTTTACATGAGGAGGAGATAGAGGTATACACACATATGCGCCTTTTAAGTCCATCTACTGTGAAGATGTACTGGAAAAGAACTTCAAAGGAACCAAAAGAAAAACCCCGCGCAACCGCGCGCCATCTGCACCTCGAGCAGTGCATCTGGCCCACCCGGGTGAGGCAGTTCGGCAAGCACAGCAACAGATGCACCGGAAGACGCTGGATGCCCTGAGGCCGGGCATCGACGCTGCGGTCGTCGTGCGCTGCCTGTGTAACGGATGAACAAGCCTCACTGCACTGATGTACGCTGTATACTGCTGTGATGCCTTTGATCGAGGGTGTTGGTAGATTGGTAGGGCGTACTGATTGGATCCAGATGCACCACAATTAAAAACACGGAGTTCAAACTGTTTAGTTGCTGATGATTGCTGCAGATTGCCTTTCAAACACTGGCTTTGCATTTGACCCTCCCAGCTTTTGCCACATCCTAAAGATGTCCAGCTGGTCATGCTCGTCCTTGCTGTTTGCATGGTTTGCATGTTTGCATGTTTGCTGTTGTAAATAGAATCATATTTTGTCATATTTTGTCCTATTTCTACCACATCCGGTGCTTGCTATTTGGAAAAGGACCAAAGGTGGAACCAAGTTCCGGTGAATTGATTTCTACCACATCCTTTGCGCTTCAGATTGTATATACCCGGATGGTGCGTGTGTTTGCCAATTCGCGTCCTTCGGTGCCACCCACCGTGCCGTGCCTCAGGCGTCGGCAAGAGGGTGATGCGTGCGCGCTGCAACTGCTACATTTTGGGGTCCGGGGCCTGGCGTCCAGGGCCTGGCTGGGCCTGGCTGCAGCAGGAGCTATGCAGGGGGGGCACGGGGCTTTTTTGCTGGAAGAGACTGGACCTGTGCAATCAGAGAAAGACCAGATGTGTAAGGCCCAAAGGTAAAAAGATAACACCTCCATGAATGAAGTTGGATCCCGGTTAAGAGTTGCACTATGACATGGGGTATCCCAAGATGATATAAATATAGGGCTCAGTTGCAGTTGCCAACCATCACCCTGCGGTTCTTCCCTTCCCTTCCAGTAGCAGATACCACGCTCCCCCGCTCGCTCCCCCGCGACCGGTCACGTCCCCAGTCTGCGGGTCCATCGCAACGGGACGACCGAGGCCTGGCGCCAAGAGGTCTTGCACAGTCGCATCGCCCGCGCGGAGAAGGAGGGGGAGACTCCATCGGTAGACCGGGGAGACCTATGGGACTGGAAGAACGTGCTGGGAAAACGAAGAACCGAGGAGAATCATGTCTTCAATGTGTATCATTCTTTTGATGGAAGCTTCCTGAAGCTTCCAAATGTCAACATAGAATCCATTTTGTCAGTACAGTACAATTTAATGCATGGTTTCACTGAGGATCTAGAAGAGCACCGCACTTTCGGTGCGTTTCTGGGGTCAACCAGTTCTGGAAAGAATGAGCACTTCTATGATATATGCAAGTTACAGGGCTTCTAAGGCTTGTTGAGTACACCTTTTTGTAAGACCTTTTTGGAATAAGCTGTCTAGGAGCTCTGGTATGGAAATGGCGAGATGAGCATCGACAAAAACTCCTGACAGTCTCACGATGAGATCAGTCCTGCCCGTGACAACAAACCACGACCAGAAACGATCAAACATCGTGGCATGCTTGTCAAGGGGAATCGTTTCTCGGAGTTGATCCAATTCGTAGTTGCTTCACCCTTCGTAGTTGGTTCATCCAAGAACATCCTTACAAAGTCGAATCCTTCAGCGTCATTGGTCGATTGCTCCGCCCGCTGGATCCGTGGGTGGAAGGATCGGGGCGGATCCGCGCCGGGCGAGTGGGCCGAGTCGGGGATCGGGGTGACGGCACCGAGAGAGTTTCTGGCTATTCTTTGCAGTGTCTTCTAGCTTCTAGTAGTAGTAGTAGTAGTAGTAGTAGTAGTAGTAGTAGTAGTAGTA